GAGAATGGAAGAGTGAGAGAGACGATACGCTGTTCGAAAGGCACTGCAATTGGTTGGAGGACAGCACGATCGGGGGGCTAAGGTACAATAATGAGCGTCAATCAGTCCCGTTGGTACCCGTTGGCGAAGTGTTGTCTGATGTTGTCAATCGCGGAGTCACAACGGTAGTACGTGGTAGCGCATGCGCGCTCGTGCAATTGCCACGCGCACCAGCCACCTGACCAACAGCGCGATGGCGCGATTACGTTGTTTCAGCCTCAGCCGTCAGCGATCGCTTTCACGCGCCACGTATTTTACGTATTTATGTTTTTTTTCCGTCCTCTTCCTCCGAGGATTCGAGGAACAGAACACGAGAGAATGTTCCGACCAGGAAAGAGTCTGAGAATGGATGTACTGGGACATGCTCGTATTTCAGGAGCAAAAAATAGGGATGTGTCGCGAAGAAAAGCTTTATTTTAAAGATTAAATAGATTTGTAATCGGACTTGCTCTGTTCGCCTATATCCGTGTGAGACGACGCTTTAAAAATGATAAAGATGTAACTGATAGCGAATTCAGACACTAATGTCCATTTCTACCAATGTAGATTAACTTTAATCTCGGTTCAACTTACTCTTCGCCTTTTTCTAATTCTAAAGATTAAGAAAAAGACAAAGAGTAAGTTGAACCGAGATTAAAGTTAATCTACTTTGATAGAAATGGGCATTAATGTATTACATTAGATTAATAATATTAAAAGTTATTATATGTGCAAAACAAAAGTAAAATAGAAATATATAAATATATAAATGTTTTAATCGATTAAATATTCTTAATAATGATATTGTCACGTTATTTAATAGAATAGAATAATATATATTATTCGAATTATTTCATTAGCAAAGTTGATTATGTTATTCCACTGCATTTAAATATTTAATTTTCTAAACTTTTAGATTGAATTGTCATTCTGAAATATCATTCTTAAAGATAAAAAAATTGAATCACTATTTTTTAAGATTGGCTTAATTTTCATTCTTTAGAGTGAGATTCCACTTCAAAGAATTGAGAGTATAGCAGTCTTTTTTATAATCCCAGCAAACGAGAATGAATTGAAATGAATTGAAATGGATTCAGATTTTCAGAAATATTGATTCACGAATGTTAAAATGAATGCATTTCAATCCTGAATGCATTTTTATTCATTTATAGGAATAGCATGGAGTATTATATTTCTATGCTTTTCAATCTAAATATAATATTATAGTATTTTATGTGCATCGTGAATACTGCTCAATTCACAATTCTGAGGAAATGCAGTTTTTTAATCTAATTAAATATAAAAAAAGTTTTTCTTTTAAAATGTACCATGGATGCTATTCAATTCAAAATTGTGAGTAGAAAATCTATTGTTTTATTTAAAAATGCATCATGAAAGCTACTTTATTCAGAATTATGAGTAAGAAATTTTTTATTTTAATTCAACTGAGTTAAAAAAAAGTTGTGCCGTAAAAATATATCATAAATTCTATTTCATTTAACAGTTAAAAGAAACATAAAAAGAACTACATAAATATGTACAATAAATGTTACATATATAAATGATTATTTTTAATTAATAAAATAATCGATTTTATTTATATTTCATATTAATGTTTCCTTCATTATACAGCTGGCGTATATTTTTGTATAAGTTTTAAAATAATAACTATTGAAGTTTATGTAATTAATACTTTAATTTATTTAAACTTTTATACATATATAAATGTTTTATATGGAATCCAATCCATTTTTATGGATTTAAAATACGAATTTAGATGGATTGAAAATTTTCAATCCATTTCAATTCATTCTCGTTTGCTGGGTAAGTAATTCACTGACTGATCAATTTTTTATGCTTTAAAATCTTGTTGAATACTTTCTATTTACTGAATCGCCAGCTAAACGCAAATCGATACAAATATCATTCTATCTTCCTTGACATTCAGGAAGTAACAAAGATAGAACAACCTTGCGTTACCAAATAAAAAGCCCCAATTGTAAATGCCGTTTAAGATATTATTTGATAAGTTAAGTTTGAAATCATCCCTCTCTGAGTGACTTTGAATTAAAAATAAAGAAATAACATAAACCTTTTGCAGCCAACTCGAGATCTTATTGAGTGATATTAATGTATCACGTGTCTAATTCGCGTCTTAATACAATTTATTAAAACATCGCTCAAATATATTAACATCGATATATTAATATCACTCAATAAGATCTTGAATTGACTCCAAAAGGCTTATATTATTTTTGTACTTATGATTTATCATCGCGTGAGCCTATTTACTATTAAATTAATTATTTTCTTAAACTTTAAATTAAATTTGAATTTTGATTCGCGCCTTTTTACAGACTTCCGGCCGCACTCGCACTTCGCTCGTTGACCGCATGACGGCGACACCGCGACGCTGCACGAGTTGCATCGCGCAACGCGCTGTGACGCGTGACGTATTGTATTATGCACTACATAAATGCACACACGCTTGTCGCGTATGTGATTGTCCCTACGATAGGGTTTGAATTTCGCCTGCGAGAGAGTGCCGCGTGCCCGCGCTGAAACTCGCCAAACGGACCACGACATCGACGACCGATCATCGTCAGAGGTTTGCCGCAGAAGTGTGTATCACGCAGTTTCGTGCGATACGTGCGATACGTGCGATGCGTGCGATGCGTGCGATACGCGTGTTCTGAGGACGTCCGCGTCGTCGTGACTTCATGCCCAGGTGACCACCGCGCGGACACGACTTTCTCCAGATCTGGTTGCGGTGGCGCGCGATCACCCGGCTTCGGGAAACAAACAGGCGCGACTCGCCACGTCGACCCCTTCATCCTCATCGCTGACGACGTCGTGAGAAGAGATCTCCGTCGTCACGCAGGTAATGAAGTCCCATTTTTGTTAGGTTAACTTACGGCACGACGCCGCGACGCTTAATCGGGTGGGGGCACTAATTAGGAAACGGGGATGGAGAAAGAGAAAGAAAGGAGAGAAAGGGGAGAGAGAGAGAGAGAAAGAGAGAGAGAGAGAGAGAGAGAGAAAGAGAGAAAAAGAGAGCAAAAGAGAAAGATCGTGCGCGTCGTTACCGTTAGTCAGCGTCAGGATTGTTAGCTACACGCGTTCTTTACGTCTGATCTTCGAGATATCGGGAGTGATATCTAAAGCCGGTTTTCTGGGTTGTTTTTTCATGGTAGGACTTTGCCAACCACGATTTTTTCGTCTACTATGTATCTGTCGTCAACTGCTTTAATTTTGTTATAGAATAGTCCGTAGAATAATCCTAAACGATCCAAGGTGCTTCCCAGTAAGAAACAGCTGACACTGTTTTTTTATTTCTGTACTAGAATTTTCTTTCTTGCTTTCTTCAAATATCAAATCTTTCCCTATTTCACAAGTTCCAAAATTACACTAGTTTAGTCACAGAAAGCAGACCTAGTGTAACACTGTGAATCATTTCATCTTTATTTAACATTGTGGCGTAATGTAAACAATAGTGATATAATGATTTGCTTCTTTTTTTTGTAATGATCCGATATTCAGAGCATAATTTGACACAAACAAACGTCGTTTTAGTCTTTGACATTAAATGAATAAGAAAAATAAAACAACACTTGTGTCGACTGTATCTCCTAAAAGGAGAGCGTTATGATTCAAAGTATTACACAGGTCTATTTTCTATACCTGAACTGGTATATATTTTTGGAACTTAGAGAATTGGATATATGTTTGATATTTGAACTTTGGGCTGTGTTTGGTTTGAATGTTCACATGCTGTAAGCTTTATTCTATTTTTTTTTCACATATAACAAGCGATAAGGACAGAATGAAGCTTACAGCACTTGCGTTCAAATTGCAGGCGAAAGTGAAAAAAAAGATTTAGTACAATTATAAAAAAACAATTGATCTGAGTTGAACTGATAATGTATGTTATGTATGTTGTATGGTATGTAATGTCAATTAATAGTAGAACATGTAATATCATTAATTCAATTCAGGTTAGTTCAAACTTAGTGCAATCAAAAATGCTATGTGTCTCTTACTGGGAAGCATCATCAGTAAACATATGTTTTTTTTTCAAAATGGTTCTGCATGTTTCTTTGTTGGATTAATTTACAGCCATTGAATTAATTTACTTTTTATATATTCTGATTTTGTAGATTTGCTTAATGAGAAATGTAGTGCTTGGATTTATGTGTCTTATTGTCTTGCAGTTAAGCTCTTAACGAAATGGGTAGCAGTGGCCAACTCTACAGTCTGTCCTGGGGAGAGTTCAGTTCTTCTCTGGCCTCTGCAGTGCAGCTGTTGAGGGGAGATGGCGATTTGGTGGATGTTACTTTAGCTGCCGGCGGACGCAGCTTTCCTGCACACAAAATTGTTCTCTGTGCAGCCAGTCCGTTCCTGTTGGATTTGTTAAAGGTTGTGTCATCTTTTCGATAAGACTTTAAGATATTCATAGTCAATTCTTATTTAAGACTTAACTACAAGATAAAATTATTTTGTCTTAACTACAAGATAAAATTATTACATTTAAGATTATCTTAAGTACACTCTCTCAATTCTTTGGAGTGGAATTTCACTATAAAGAGTGAAAATTGAGCCAGTCTTGAAAAAGTGTGGTTCAATTTTTAATCTTTAAAGTCCATACTAAAAGTTGTAAAATTAGCAAAGTCAAACGTAAAGCTATATTAATATTTTAAACGATTAACTATTTAATAATGATATTGTCACATTATTTAACAGAATATGTATGTATTATTTTATTGTCAAAGTTGATTATATTATGCCACTGCATTTATTTTATGCACAGCAGCTTTTAACTTATTCAGTGTAGTGTGAGCGA